AGAGTTACAAACTGACTGGTCAACCACACACCTCATTTGGAACCTGAAGTACTCAATCAGGCAGCAGCAGAGACCAAAAAAGAAAAGAAAAAGAAAAAGCAAACAGTACAGAAGCTGGGAATGGGTGACAGGGGATGGATCATTTGATGATTACCTGTTCTGTTCATTCCCTCTGGGGCACCTAGTGTTGGTCACTGTCAGAACACAAAATACTGGGCTAGATGGACTTTAGTCTGACCCACTATGGCCATTCTTATGGTCTTACGTCCTTACGATGTTCAATGTAAGCTACTAAAATAATAAAGGGAAAGTTTAAAAAAAGATTTAACAAGGTCAGGAAACTGTTTCTATGCTTTTTAATTTAAATTAAGATGGTTAAACCGGCATTTTTCTTCTGCATAGTAAAGTTTCAAAACTGTGTTAAGTCAATGGTCAGCTGTAAACTTCTGAAAGAACAACCATAACACTTTGTTCAGAGTTGCAAACATTTCAGAGTTATGAACAACCTCCAATCCCAAAGTGTTCATAGCTCTGAGGTTCTCCTGTATTAAGTAATTAAGCCTCACAGCTAGTACATAAGTGGGTATTCTTAGCCCCATTTCTGAAACAAAGAAGTTGTGACTTGCTGAAGGTGAAAGAGGGAATCTGTTTCAAAAGCAGGATAGGAACTCAGGAATTCCTGATTGCCTGTCCAGTGCTCACATCACACTAAAACATGCCCCTCTGACCACATCTCTCTCTCATTATACTCCAAAGAGAGCCATATCCAGCTTTCCACTGCTTAAGGGTAGGTCAGTGCAATATGACACCTTTAAAGAGGAGGGAGGGAAAAAGAGGGAACAAAGTAGAGAATCCTTAAAGACATCTCACCTCCCCACTGGAGCAAAGCACATACATCATTAAGGGGTTAACTGTTGTTGTTGCTTAGTAATTAAATCATCTTAGTGCTCTGGAGAAGTGCTGGATTGACTCATCTGAAAAAAATGAAGTCCCCTTACCTTTCCACAAGCTAGGTATTAACACTCACAAATATGCATATCACATGCCATAAAACCCTGCAAGTTAGTTTTGGGTTAGTTTTATCACCTGTGGATGAAAATCATCATGACTTGACAGATTTACATATTCTTATGTGATATATGACAATTTGGGATAATCCACTGTGAACAATCGAGATTATGTCGTGTGATTTTTCTGCACAAATATGAACACATAGCAGATATTCGTGGTCTCAGTTAGGATGACTTTCTGCCTAACTGGCTGTATTCTGGTATACAGATATTGATAGCACAATACTAAGGAATCCATTCTGTGTTTGGCAGCTGGAACAAGGCACTCTGAAGCAGTGACAGACGTTTAAAGCTAATTTTATATCTGTCACTAGGTACTGGTCTCAGTTCCAACACCTCTTCCTGTCCAGCATTGTCTCCTATCAACCCTCAAGGGTTTGTGGAGAAGAGGCTTATCTTGAGCCATTCTTCTTCCCTTCCTGCTTGTTTTTCCTTACAACCCCATATTAAACAAAACCAATACATTCAGACAGTAAACATCTTAATAACCAGATCAACATTCAGTAACCATAACTTATTACAGAGCAACTGTAATTACCATCCCACTATAAACTTAGCATGTGGCATAATACAGCTTCCTGATTCTTGACTGATGTCATTACATTATACTTGTCAGCTCTCTCTCTCTTTTTTCTCCACATTTGAGTGGAGGGGGGATATTAATAGCATGAATTCAAATACTGGTAATGCATTTGGAATGTTGTTGATGAATGAACCATGCTTGAAATTCAAGTCATAGACTTTAAGGTCAGAAGGGACTACCACTATCATATAGTTTGACCTTCTGCACATTGCAGGCCACAGAACCTCACCCACCCTCTCCTGTAAAAGACCTCTAACCTCTGGCTGAGTTACTGAAGTCCTCAAATCACGATTTAAAGACTTCAAGTTACAGAGAATTCACCATTTACACTAGTTTAAACCTGCAAGTGACCCCTGCCCCATGCAGCAGAGGAAGGAGGAAAAAACCTCAAGGTCTTTGCCAATCTGACCCAGGGGAAAATTCCTTCCTGACCCCAAATATGGAGATCGGTTAGACCCTGAGCATGTGGGCTAGACCTACCAGCCAGACACCTAGGAAAGAATGATCTGTAGTAACTAACAGCCCTCTCCAGCTAGTGTCCCATAATGGACCGTGGGACATACTTGCTCCTAGCAGTCAGCTACATGCCATTGTAGACAATCCTGTCATACCATAAACTTATCAAGCTCAGTCTTGAAGCCAGTTAGGTTTTTTCCCCCACTGCTCCACTTGGAAGGCTGTTCCAGAACTTCACTCCTGTGATGATTAGAAACCTTAACCTAATTTCAAGCCTAAATTTGGTGATGGCCAGTTTATATCCATTTGTTCTGGATTCCACATTGATGTTTAACTTAAATAACTCCTCTCCCTCCCTGGTATTTATCCCTCTGATGTATTTATAAAGAGCAATCATATCTCCCCTCAGCCTTCTTTTGGTTAGGGTAAACAAGCCAAGCTCTGTGAGTCTCCTCTCATAAGGTAGGTTTTCCATTCTTCAGATCATCCTAGTAGCCCTTCTCTGCACCTGTTCCAGTTTGAATTAATCTTTCTTACACATGGGAGACCAGAACTGCACACAGTATTCCAGATCCTGAGGTCTCACCAGTGACTCGTACCATGGTACTAACACTTCCCTGTCTCTACTGGAAATACCTAGCCTGATGCATCCTAGGACTGCATTAGCCTTTTTCATGGGCACATCACATTGGCAGCTCATAAACCTCCTGTGATCAACTCGTACACCCAGATCTTTCTCCTCCTCTGTCACTTCCAGCTGATACGTCCCCAGCTTATAGCAAAAATTCTTGTTGTTAGTTCCTAAATGCATGACCTTACACTTTGCCCTGAGACATTCTATACCTCAAAGCAACATGCTGAAATCCCCATATTCACCACTGTCATACAATTATGACATGTTTTGGACAAAGTATGCCTTGTGAGGTAGCATGTTAAAAAGCCTTAATTGGTTGACCATTAATATTATGTTGGATTGTATATGCTGTTGTTATATGTGAAGTTCTGAAGTATTGCTGTATGTGTTACTGAAGTATGTTATGAGGTTGGGAACACACACAACCAGCCTTTCAGGTACAACAGTGGAGTAGCCAGACATGCTGGTATCCCATTAAAGGGAATCCACTCTCCCAGAAGCCATCCCAGAAGACTTCTCAGAGAGAGCATGTAGACAATGGATGCTGCTTGACCAATGGGGGAAGACCCCCATGTCACAAGCAAAAGATCTTTCCAGCAAGCTGGAAGAAACTATAACAGAGGGGAAGTGACATCATGACTTGGCCTCACTCCCACCACAACTCAACCCCTGGAAACATGCCTATAGGACAAAGACTTTGTACTGCAGGAGGGTGGTCCCAGGCTGAATGGCAGTTCCAGCCTGTGTATTGAAGATCTGTGACCTGTTTGTACCATCTATTAGGGTAAGACACTACTTGATTCAAATTCTGTTTAGTTTATAGAATTTAGACTGCAAGTTTATTTTTGTTTTCTTAAGTAAACAACTTTGATCTCTATTCTTGCTACTTATAATTACTTAAAATCTATCTTTCTGTAGTTAATACTGTTCGCAAGGTAATTCCAAACTCGGGTAAATTAAAAGTATTATTACGGCTCTTTTGTAAAGGGCACTTATGGAAAGTGTTCTCATTCAATGAGCATTCCTTTGTTTCTCTTTTTTTAAGTCTGATGGTCATTATTGGCAATACAAGTGAGAAAAGAATCGAAGTGTGCTTCTCTCATTGGGGCAAGGTAACTCTCATTGACAATAATAATACAAGTGAGTTACTTGTGTGTCAAGGGGAGACTAGATCCTCAGAATGGAAAAGTTAAAGACTTGTTATGCTCGAAATTCTGGATTTAGCGGTCAGTCTGCATGGTCATTTAAGTGGTATGTAATGTGTTCTCTCTCTCTGTCTGTATACCACATTAGTTTCTATTCTGATCTTAGTGAAGCAGATTATTAATTATTCAGCAGTTTGTTTTCCTTTAATTGTACTTAGCACACTTGACTGAAAGAGCAGCTAATACTGGACTAGGTCCAAGAAAAAGGTGAGTTTTGTATAAAAAGGCATCAAAATGAAAGCTTTCAGCTTTGAAATCATCTATTTTTTTCTCTCTCCTCTGTTTTTAGAAGATTATTTCCAGCCCTTTTGATGTCAAGAAATTCAATGCCTTTTACAAAACTGCTGCTGTGTGTAAAACATTCCTTTTTAAAAATTAAATCCAGTATATTTAATTCCCCATCTACTATACTCTTAATAAGTGAAACTTCCTAATATTACAGAAATGATGGTCTTATGGTTAAGGCACTAGACTGGGATGAAGGGGACCCAGATTCATTTCCTAGCCCCATCATAGACCTTGTGCAAACCTAAATAACTTGTTTCTGTGTCTCAGCTTCTCCCCTGTAAAATGGGAAAAGTATCACCTCAAAGGGGTATTGCAGGGATAAATTCATCAGTGAGTCTGAAGTATTCATACAGTGACAGAGGTCATATAAGGTCATATAAGAATAGTCTGAAAACATCTGTAATATTTAACAAACCATTGGTTGTGTCCCGTTACAGCTACAAACACAAAAAAGGAAAATATATTAAAAAGATTTAAAACAGTAACTTCCAGGCTAACGGCAGTATTGTGTGCTCTGCTTTGGAGTAGAGAGGAGATAAAAAGGAACAGAAGACTTGCTCATACAGCTGAAAATATTCCAAAGAGAAGGGAGCTGAACATAAGTAGCATCATTTTACGGCACAGATGTGTAAATAAATTAATATTGACTGAATCAGTGATGACATATGCAAAGCATTCTGTGTACTCGTGTCCTAGCTCCAATTTATGTTTGCATTCATTCATATATACATATCCTAATACCCTTTCCTTTCTCTTCTCTCTAGCCCCTATAGAAATAGGGTATTGACTTGCCTCTGTGGACTCCCTGAGATCACTCTATGCTTCAGCTTAGTGCTCTGGAAAAGTTTTGGACTGACCACTCTGGAAAATGAAGTTCTCTAATCTGGTCACAAACTGGCATTTGCATGGCAAAGCCTAAAACCCCTGCTATCTTCAAGTAGTCAACTGCTTCTGGCCACCACACCTCCTACCTACTCCAGAGGCTAAATCTGTGCTCCAGATCTCTCTGAAACTCTGTGACTGATAGAACGTGTGGAGTCTTCCTGAATCTGTTTAGCCACCCACTGTGGTCTTTTCCACACAAGGGCCTGATCTGGCCCCATGCGTCCACTGTAATCCTTTCCCAAGATAACATTTGAAAATGTATTGGATCCTCACTTTGGATGAAGCTTCAAAACTTGAAAACAATTTACATTTAAACACATGGTACTTCACTGTATGCTCCTGTGGTATAAGGGTACATTTACCCTTATTTACCCAGATGTAAATAGTAGGTGTGCTGGCAATATTATTTGCTGTGTACCTATATACACATGCATATATTAAAATATATACACACACAGCAGAGGGGACATATACTGTGCATACATCTAGATGCATATAGTGCATACAGAATTAGAGACAGTATGTGTGTTATTACAGTATATATCCAGGTATTGCAGGTGTATTGTAATGTTTATAATACAGTAAGCTGGGATTCTTTCACACATGCCTGTGTGCGTGCGCACACACACAGCTGGGGAACTGTGTTGCTGATTTGTTAGCTATAGGGAAGTTGACCGAAATTTCATTTATGTTCATAGAAACAGGCTTTGTTGTATTATATTAATATTTGTATGACGAATAAGCACTAAAATTAAATACAGTCTGGTGAATTGTAACTTTTGTTCTAAAGATTATATTGTATAAATATGCCTACATTAAACCATTCAGTTTAAATGTTTTTGGAAACACTAGGTTTAAATTATTTTCAAGGGCTATAAAGAGAAAACAAACAGCCTGAATTGTTTAAAATGTGTGTTCCCTTTAATTAAATTAGAAACATCTGTCTTGGGATTTTGAAAGTGGTGGGATATAATCTATCCACATTATGCCTACATCAGTTTGCATCCAACTTTCAGTATTTTGAAAGAAAATTCTTCCTTTCTGTAAAGAATTAAATCAGCATGGAGCATAAGGTACCGCCTCCCACTGAATGGGCAGAATCCCTTGTTGAAAACAGCACTGAAAACGACCAACAACCAATTTCCACGGTTCGGGGGGCGGGAGGGTTACATCAAACACGGAGTTTGGTCTTCTGAACATTTGCAAGTGGGTATTTCTTTTCAAAAAGCGTTACGTGCAATCCACACACCTTTCATTCAACGTATGGAAAGCGGCAGTGGCCTACGCACCAATCCCCAACTTCACGCGATTGTTATTTCTGTAGGGACCATCTCCCCCGGACGCACACAAACTCCAAGAGCGCAATTTCTCTGGGGAACTACACACCCTCAGATCAGACTGACAGACACAAGTGAAGGGAGCGCCGAACCAACTCGCAGTAAGGGGTGACTTTCCCAATACAATACAACGCGAAATATCTGTGCGTTACATGCGTATAACGATTTACTTACTAGTAGTATCGAAGGGGATCTGTTTGCACTCAGCGGCCGGCCAAGGACAGTAATACACCGCTCCCCCTTCCTGTATGTCCGGCTGTGTAGTATTGGCTTTGGGAGCACCGACCAGGACACTTACTCTGCAAAACCATTTGTGACCGTCACTAGATAAAGGCGGACTGATGGCAGATCATTTGTGCCCACCCGCTGCCACCCACACCAGAGCCCGGGGACGGGAGGAAATCGGCAGGACCCTTTCCCTGTGGCCACATGAAAGCTCCACGGAGCTTTCATTCCCATCTGTTTCCAGCAGATAGCTAACCCCTGCGGGCCAGGGGGCAGCTGGAGCTGCATCCGCCGGCCGGTGCCAGAGAGACGCCCGCAAAGGGCTGCCCCCGCTCGGGGTTTGGGCAGATCCCTCCCCGCACCCGCGGCTGGGTTCCTGGCGAGCCTGCCCCGGGGTGCTGGGAGCGGCGCCCAGGCTGGCTTTAGCCAGGACGAGTTGGGCTGATGGAGACCTTCTCTGGCCACCCCGGCGCGGGTCTCCGGTGGCCCCGGCGCGGGGGCCAAGGGCCGAGGAGGGGGCCGCCGAGCTCCCGGGCAGGGCTCCGGGCTGGGAGGGAAGCGCCCCGCGGGTACTTACGCGCCGGTGTAGTGGTGGAAATCCACGGCGTAGCCGAAGTAGCTGCTCTCGGGCCCGCTGTACACGGTCAGCTTCTCCTCGTCCACGTTGAACGCCGCCAGCCCCGGCGGCCGGAGCATCCCTGACAGCAGCAGCAGCGGCAGCGGGGCGAGGGGCTCCCAGCGGCGCCCCGGGGGCAGCATCCTGCTCCTCAGCCGCGGAGCCTCCCGCTCCCGGGGCAGCGCGGCGGGGGCAGCCTGGCGGGGCGCGGGGCGCAGCGGCGAGGCGGCTGGTGCGCAGGGACCCGCGGCGGCTCGGCTCGGACCCGCAGCCCCGCTCCGCGCCGCCTCTCGCCCGGCGCCCACAAGCATCTCCGCGCGGCGGCGAGTGAGGCAGCGGCTCGGCCGGCTGACTCCGGGGCGCCCCCTGGTGGCCGGCCGCTGGGGCACAGGCAGAGCGCTCCGCAGGGCAGCGGGCGCGCTGGGGGGGGTCGGCGGCCGGGGGCCGCGAAGCCCTGAGCTCCCTGGCTCTGGACGTTCTCTCTTCCCCACGCCGCGCGTGTGAGATGCACCAGGGAATCCACTCACTGGGGGGGGAGGGTGCCTGATGCCCCCTGGCATCGGATCCGAAGGGATCTAGATAGTCACCCCCACTGGAAAAGCAAGCAGATTTTTGCCCTATCGTCTGAAAGGTGGAATCTGAGCCTTCCCCGCAGAGCCAACAAGTCAAGGGGAGGTTCAGCTGCTTTGCTAAATTAGAGGAGGGCAATCAAAGCATGAAAGTACAAGCCAGTACAGGACGCGCAACAGCACCCTCCGAGGGCAAAGTTTTTCCCGAAGTTTGTAGTGTGGTAGCCACTGGTGGCACCCTGGAGCAGGGGCAAACACAGGTGTGCAGCGCCCTCCTCAGCAGAGCAACTCGGAAGGACAAGTCACTTCTCACTCTTTTGTGGACTGAAAATGTCCCGATTTGGGGCTGAAACGGACAGGTGGGATTTTAGGGAAAGCTGTTTGTGAGTCATGTGTGTATGATCTAACCCACACACTTACGATTTTGGCTGGAACTATAAAAACAGCTGCTATCTGCCAATTTAGCCCACAACTAATCCTCAATGAGAAACAAGGCTGAGCTAAATTTAAAAAATAAAATTGTGGCAGTACTTTCATTTTTCTTTAAGAGGATTTATATGGCAACAAGCAACGATGCACTGCTGCCCCAGCCTTACAGAAAACTGTTTCCAAATAATAACAGCTGCAAAGGTGTGTGATTCACCCGTCCCCTCTCCCGATCTAGAAAAAAACAGGGCCAGATTCTGAGGCTATCATCCAGAATAATCTCACGGAAGCCAATGGCATTACTGGGATTTGCCCGAGGGAACCTGAAATCAGAATTTGACCCTGAGAGGCGCCTATGACCATTACAGAACAGTGGTTGCTGTTCCATAATTAAGGTCTTGATCCTGCAACTGCGTCTGTGTGAAGGGGCCGCCGTGCCTGTATGGAGCCTCATTTATTTTAATGGGGCTCTTACAGGCTACAGGAGTCCCCCCTGTCTAGGTCCACTTGCACAGTCCAGCTCTAAGGAGTTTCCATCATAAACCCAATTTTGTCCTCTGTCCCAAGCAAGATTTAAGAAAGCATCAACACTGAGACAGGATCTGCAGACAAAGTCACCCTGCTCTACCCACGTGTATAGCAGGGATGAAGTTTCAGTAGCTTCTAGCTGAGTAACTTCCTTCTCCCCCCCCCCCCCCCAAACTATTTCATCCACTGAAGATTCTTATATTTTGAAAGAGCCTTTTCTGATATAACAGGACACGGAAAAGCTACTCCTAGGAACTGGACACTCAACAGCTCATTATAATGACCACTAAGATGGCTATTGTTTAAAAGAAGAGGCCTTTTCTTGTTTTCAACAGACGTTTTAACCACAGGAAAGATATAAAAACCAACCGCAGTTCAGAACACCTCAGGAGGCCTATTTCTTTGTAAATTTCACTATTACTGCTAGGTAGACTATATAAACTCTAACTATGCCTAAGGGAGTAACTTAAATTCACATAAAGAGAAAAATCACTGTATGTAGTTCCTATAACTATTATACAAGAGGAGGTGTCAAATCTCTCCCCTGACAAAAGAATGCAGACCGGCCCATAAGCTACATGACAACCCCATTCCATGCAGAAAACAGAATGTCCCTCTCAGAATTACTTCCCTCCCCTCCAATTTTAATCCATAACACCTTCTTGTGGGATTCTCCACTCCCATAACTGTGTTTTAGATGTTTTGTTTACGACTATATTCAAATAGGCAGCATCTGCTTGAAATTCTACCCTTCCCTGCCTGGATCAATGGCACTCCAAAACCTGCCAGAAGAGGGCAGCATATTTCATTTTTAAATCCCCCAACCTCTCTCCTCCCCCCGCGCCAAGTCAAAGGCAGAAACGAAGTAGAAAACCTTCTAAAAATACTTCTTAATCCTCTAAAAAGCCGTTCTTCTCTCTGAAAAAGAGATGTGTCCTTCCAGCATTTACAATGCAAGTGTGTATCAAGGAAATACTGGAGAAGAAACCTAGAAGAATTGTAAACATTCCAAAGTTACATTTAAGATCACACTTGCTACATTTTGAGTATACCTATTATAGCAGCAGATTAAGTCCTTTGTGGCTAGAGTTACTCTGATATTCCCAGTCACTATAACGGAATAGTGTGTTTATTTTTAAAGTTTGGTATAATTACCCTAAGCTGTCATCACTGACTCCCACACCTCAGTTTGTGGAACATATAATGAGTTTCTATTGTTCTAATTTGGATGAAACCAAACAATAGCCATTACTTAGTTATTTTAGAATGAACAAGTATTTCTGGTGATAAGGACCAATAGCAAAATGTACTTCAATGACATAAGAGCCTAAGTCCTATATTCAAAAGTAATTTAGGCTTAGGCTTCTAAGTGCATTAGAGGCTTTAGAAAATTTTACACCAAACTCCTAAATGAATAGGAATTCAACTTTTTGGAAATGTTGAGTTGTGCTACGTAATAGTAATACATTGGTCCCGTCTGACATTAGACTCCGTAAGTACCGAGTAAGGTACTTTTCATCAGGCTTTTCATCAGTAGATCTTAAAGTGATTTACAACAGAGCTCAGTATCGTTATCATTTTACAGGTGGGGAAACTGAGGCACAGAGTGACATCACTTGCCCAAGATCATCCAGCAAGGCAGCAGCAGAGCCCAGATTGAAACCCAGGTTTTACAAGTCCCAGTCCAGTGCTCTATTCACTAGCAACCCTGCCTTATATGGGCCAATTTACAGTAGGTCTAGTAATTATAAAGTTGCTCAAACTGGTGGCAGAGGGGAGGGGTGGGAAGGACAAGGATCAGAAAGACAGGAAGCTGTGTCATGCTCTCCTTGCTCTCAATGTATTAGTATGTTGAAATTCTCTCCTTCCTTTTCTATTTTTCTTTCAGATAATCCAGCAGCAGATTGAAATGGGTGTCATAACCTACCCTACCCCCTTCAAATTCAAGCACTAATTGTCACATTTAAAAAGTAGATAAATAGTTAAAGCTAATTATTGTTTAAAAATTAGACCAACACAACATTTAACCATTCTCCCTTTGATAAATCCAGTGGCAGCAGGGCCAGAGCCTCCACAGCTGGAGAGAAACTCTGCAGGAGACACAGCATAACCAAAAGAGAACACTCTCCGGGGCTCT